GGGAATCCCAGACCTCTACAGAAAGAGGTGATGTTTGAAATTTTTCATCACTGGTATGCATTCTGCAGGGGCTGTGCTCCCACAAACAGTCTGGGAGACTCTCCAAGAGTACCTGCTGGCAGGTGGCAGTAGCCTCAGGCAGCAATGTGGACACCGGGGTGGGGGTGGTGGGGGATGTGATTTATTGTGGCAAAAGGTACAAAGAAAAATCAGCAAAGGGAAAAGACTGCTGGGGTGAGGTTCTGGGGGAACTAGGCAGGTGCTTCCAAGAGTCCTCTTCAGTGGAGTCACACAGGATGTGTTTAATTCCTTTAGCAATTAGTTGTAACATGTTTTTTCTCTGTGTGTCTCATTCAACAATCATAACTTTATTTTTTTTTTGTTTTTAGTAATCTCTTATTCTCACTCAGACCTTTCATCTGGAATGGTTGTTTGCAAGAGGGACAAAAGCATTTTTACAGAAAAATATTTTAATACAATGTAACCAGAATAACACATCATATTCTGGAATTGGTCAGGACAAAATCCTGAATTTTTGAAAATTTTCAAAATGGTAGGTCGGGTGTGGTGGCTCATGTCTGTAATTCCAACATTTTTGGAGGCTGAGGCAAGAGGATCACTTGAATTCAGGAGTTTGAGACCAGCCTGGGCAACACAATAAGACTTTATCACCACAAAAAATAAAAAAGCCAGGTGTGGTGGTGCACACCTGTAGTCCCAGCTACTCTGGAGGCTGAAGTGGGAGGATCCCTTGAGCTCAGGAGGTCGTGGCTGCAGTGAGCCATGTTCACACCACTGCATTCCAGCCTGGGTGACAGAGCAAGGCCCTGTCTCAAAAAAAAAAAAAAAAAAAAAATTCAAAGTAAGCTTAAATAATCTCTATTTTTTGTCCTGATCATTCATTCATTGAGCAGCCTAGAAAAGGTCAGTTCCTTTCTGGGGAAAGCTGCATTTAATAATCAAACTGCCTTACCAGGAGGAAGGAGAAGGAAATTGTATTAGTTTATTTTCTGTTGCTTATAAAAGAATACCTGAAACTCAGGTAATTTATAAAGAAACGAAATTCATTTCTCCACCAGTTACGGAGGCTGAGACTCCAAGGTCGAGAAACTGCATCTGGTGAGGGCCTTCTTGCTATCTTGGACTTCCTGTGGAGTCCCAAGGTGGTGCCGGGCGTCACATGGTGAGGAGCTGAGCGTGATAGCTCAGGTATCTCTTCCTCTTCTTCTAAAGTCACCAAGGTCCTCTTAAGTGCGTTTTTTCTTGTCATTTTAAGAGTCCCACTTGACCCACTCAAAAATACACATACAGGCTGGAAAATCATAAGCTTCTAAGGCTGACAATTTCACAAGAGCTCATTAGCAACTAATGCTAATTTTAGTTTAAAAGCAACTTTGCTTTTTAAAACTCCAAAAGTATATCTCCATCTGGAGATTGCCTGTCTTTTATGTTGTCTCCTTTTTTCCAGAGGCTTCATGGCAAAAGTTATAGCAAAAATTATCCATTGCAGAGACGTTTGTTTTTTAATACTCAAAGAATTTAAATTCCAACCCACACACTGGTGGCAAAAAACAAGGATATTGTATTCCACTGACAGTTTTTCTTTGCAGGTTTCTCTGGTCATCTTGCATTTATGACACTGAAAGCATTAAACTGCTATATCAGTTTTCACCATCCATCCAAGTGCAGTAACTACAAAAAAAATACAAAGCCTTTTTTTTTTTAAATTTTTTTAGAGCTGGGGTCTCACTTTGTTGCCCAGGCTGGAGTGTTGTGGCTATTCACAGCTGCAATCATAGCTCACTGCAGCCTCGAACTCCTGGGCTCAAGTGATTCTCCCACCTCAGTCTCCCAAGTAACCGGGATTACAAGTATGTGACTCCAAAGGCATTTTTTAAAAGACAGCCCCAATGTGGCTTCCTGTAGTTCCAGGATGCCCCCAGCCTCCCAGATCTACCTTTAAGCAGTGCTCAGGTCACAGAGCAGTGCCCAGAAGAGGGTGAGGGAGGAGGCTCCAGTACTGCACATCTGTTACGTGCTGTATGTTGGTTTCTTAGGGCATTCATAACAAATGACCACAAGTGGGGTTGCCTAAAACAACAGCAATTTATTATTCTCTAGTTCTGGAAGATAGACATCCAAAATGAAAATGTCAGCAGGGTCCTGCTCCTGCAGAAGCCTCTAGTGGAGAATCTTTCCTTGTCTTTCCTGGTTTCTGGGGGCTCCAGGTGTTCTGTGGCTTGCAGCTGTATCACTCCAGTCTCTGCCTCCATCTTCACATGACCCTCCCCTTGCCTCTCCATGTCTCTTGTAAGGACACTTGTTATTGGATTTAGGGCCTACCTGGATAATCCGGGATAATATAATGACAAGATCCTTAATCACACCTGAAAGTCTCCTATTTCTATAAGGTCACATTCACAGGCTCCAGGTGGAGATATCTTCTGTATGACCACCATTCAAGCCACTATATGCCCATCTGCCTAACATTAATGATGGCCTGCGTTTTATTAAGTGCCTACTGTGTGCCAGGCACTCAATGTGCACATTAGCCACCGAGGGAGGGACTGTGTTTACCATTCTAGGGAGATAAGGTCTTAAGAAGCTTCCACAGAGATGACTGCATTTAGGATTTGGATTTCTTAACTGCTCTTTCGTGCTTCCTGGTACCAAAACCTATACCTTTATGCCTTGGGAACCCAGGTCACCCACCTGCCCAGTCCATGGGGGAGCAGGAATAAATCAGAACATGGGAGGGACTGTTAAAGCCCTTTTCCAGCTGTGATTGCTTTGCGGTTGGCTCTGGGCCCCACAGCAGGAGCTCTGCTGTCCAGGGAAATGAAGAAGCCTTTCAGGACAGCAGCTCCTGACAGCATGCTATGGTTTGAATATGTCTCCCAAAAAAATTCAGGGGTTGCCAATGTGGTGGTTCTAAGAGGTGGGGCCTTTAAGAGGTAATTAGGTGATGAGGGCTCCTTCCCTGTGAATAGGATGAGGTGCCCCTATAAAGGGACCTGAAGGAGGGAGTTGGTCCTCTCTCGCCCTCTGCCTTCTGCTATGTTACAACGCAGCAAGAGGCCCTCACCAGATGCTGGTGCCTTGATCTTGGACTTCCCAGCCTCCAGAACTGTGAGAAATAAATTTCTATTCTTTCTAAATGACCCAGTCTCAGGTATTCCATCACAGCAGCACAAATGGGCTAAGATGCTCCAGCTAGCCATGGGCCCACCCCAAGGTTTCAGCCCAAGAAGGGGAGGCATCTGGGAAGGTAGGTCTGTCTGCCAGGTGGGCCTCCCTGCTGGAGGGAGCAGATTCCCAGGTCCCGGGAACAGTGCAGCAGTGCAGAGGGAAGGCCACTTGCTGGGGGCTTGCCTTCCTGGAGAACACTTGTCCAGGCCCCAATCCCAAAGCCACTCCAGCAAGAATGAGCTGTGCTGTCTACAAACACATCACTGGCCACATCCCCAAGGTCGCCCTCTGATGTGGGCGTGACCACTCCACCTATTTTGTAGTCACGAAAGTCCGCGTTTCCACGGCTGTCCTCCATGATCTCTGCAGAGGATGGGTTTCCTCTGTGGGTGAGCCCTCGGGAGCAGGGGAAGGTCCCTGCATCTCACCTCACTTTACCTCACAGGCCACAGTGGGGCTTCCTAATCTAGGGGTTCTCAATATGTGCCTCCCTGGGCCAGCAGCATTAGCGTCATCAAGGAAGCTGCTGGAGTGGAGTGGCAGATTCTCAGCCACACCCCAGATGTGCCGAATCAGAAACTCAGGGTGGGCCCGGCAGTCTGTGTTTTACCTTGCCCTCTGCACACTGGAATTGCCTGGAAAGCTTTGAAAACACAGAGGCTCAGCCCCACTCAGATCAATTGTATCAGAATCACTGGGGGAGAACATAAGTAGTTTTACAGCCCCCAGGTGGTTTCAGGGTGCAGCCAAAGCACATTTCCCTTCATGACTCATGAGCCTGGGAATAGTTTGAATTTTAAATAAAGGGAAGGGGTTTGGGTCCCAAGCTGAGGTAATACAAATGTCATTATAACAGACACATGGTAAGAAATACATGTGTTACAGAAAAGAGTGTATGTGGAGATTATTTCTTTTACTGAATGTACTTTTCACTTGAGCATTGAAGAAGAAAATCCCCTTTCTTTTTTTTTTTTTTTTGGAGGGGGTGCGGGGGGACGGAGTCTCACTCTATCACCCAGTCTGGAGTGCAGTGGTTCGATCTTGGCTCCTGATCTCAGGTGATGCGCCCCCCTCAGCCTCCCAAAGTGCTGGGATTACAGGCGTGAGCCACTGCACCTGGCCTTAAAAATCCCATTTATAATGCAAGTAGTCTTGGCCTCAGACCATGGGAGCTCCTTGGTGCTTCTTCCTCGATTTGGATAAAAAGGCTTCACCCCAGCCACTTTGCACCCCACCCTTCTCTTCAGGATGTGAACTCTCACGTCGGGATGGTGTCCGACTGGAAGCTGACGGGAGTCTGGGCTGAACAGGAAGGGGAGCAAGCCCAGGGCTCATCTGTTCCCTCCTCAGTTTGCCTGCTCCCCTCTTTCCCTTCAGCTTTTGTGTTGATTAACGGAGAACACCCTGGCACTAGCTTTGTTCCTGAGGCCGTGTCTACAGAGAGGGGGAGTTGGGGTGGGAGCCTTGCCTAACAGCCACTCACAGACTCACCCTGTCTGAGTCTCAGTTTCCTCACTTGTAAGATGGGCATGCAGCTACCTATTTTGCAGGGTTACATGACTGAGCACTTTAGTCCACTGCTCTCGGCTCATCCCCATGTAATCCCACAAGGTAGGTACATGCACATCCATCTTATAGGTGAGGAAACTGAGTCTCAGACAGATTCATAGCCAGCCAGAGGTGGAGCAGGGATGCCCGACTCTAAAACCCAGCTCTACCTCAATGCACTGTCAGATTTTGAACCGAGAAAGAGGTGATCAAGGAATAAACATTCTCTGTGCTCTCTTTCCCCACGTGCTGTGTGCTGACAGAGCTGAAAGTTCTCCTCATTGACTTCTTGAAGCAGGAGAACGCCGTTTCTCACCACACGTGGGAGTTCCAAACGAGCAATCCTGTGTTCCGGCGAGGGCAGGTGTTTCACCTGCGGCTGGTGCTGAACCAGCCCCTACAATCCTACCACGAACTGAAACTGGAATTCAGCACAGGTGAAGCCTCGGGGCCCTGCTCATAGGGCTTGGGGGAGGGACCACGAGGGTCCCTGGATGCTGGAGTGGCCCTTTCTAGTCAGTCTGAGCCAGGAGTGCCTTCCCCTCTTTGATCCCCAGTTTCTCCATCTGTAAAGTGGGAATAGGAGGTATGATGAGAATAGAATGGGAAGCTCAGTCAGGACCTCACACATAGTGAGGCTCTGATTCCTTGGCTAAGCAGGGGAGGGGGCCGGAGCAGAGAAAGGAGGCGACTCAGCGGGAATCTGCCGCAGTGGGGTCTGGAACATTTTGTAGAGATGAATCATAGGACTGAGATGTGCTGATGCCATAACTGGGTGGGCTGGAGGTAAGCCAGTAATAATGATTAAAATATCATAGTTTGGTTGCAAAGATAATAGGAAATGGCTCACGCATTTGTTATAGTTAGGTAAATACATGTGCATAAGTACAACTAGGGGAACAGAGAAAATGTATTAGATTTTGTGACAGGTGGTGGGATAATGGAGGGGAGGTCTTCTTTAATGCTGTTTTTAAGTTTTTTTTTTTTTTTGAATAGCTCAGTAGCTCAGTCTTTACTTTTGTTTTGTTTTATTTTTGTTTTTTTATTATACTTTAGGTTCTAGGGTACATGTGCACAATGTGCAGGTTTGTTATGTGTATATACATGTGCCATGATGGTGTGCTGCACCCATTAACTCGTCATTTACCTAATGTTTTTAAGTTATAAAAATAGATCAAGTAAGACAGGCATGGCAGCTAATGCCTGTAATCCTAGTATTTTGGGAGGCCGAGGTGGGCAGATCACCTGAGATCAGGAGTTCGAGACCAGCCTGGCCAACATGGTGAAACCCCGTCTCTGCTAAAAATACAAAAATTAGCCGGGCATAGTGGCAGGTGCCTGTAATCCCAGCTATTCAGGAGGCTGAGGTAGGATAATTGCTTGAACCTGGGAGGCGGAGGTTGCAGGGAGGTGAGATTGTGTCATTGCACTTCATCCTGGCGACAAGAGTGAAACTCCGTCTCAAAAAAAATTAGATCAAGTAGATCTACTTTACAAGATGGCATACAATAGCACTTCCTGGGAGAGCGCTCCTTTTGCTCCTTCTCTGAGTGAACAACAGGCTTAGGGTCTCCTCCAACGTGCTGGTGGAGATCAGTCAGAACAGCCGCCATTCCCTTCATCCAAGATGAAATAAGCACCTACTGTGTGCCGTGCCATGAGCTACCTGCTCAACATGTGGACTGGGACCGTGCTGTCGCTGACTTTGTGACTTTATAGTATCCTGGGTCCATGTGCATTCCCTCACCCAAAATTTCCTGAGCACTTGCCACATGCCAGGCGTTGCACTGAGCACTCTCCATGTGTGGCGTAGTGCGACTCACTCAACAGGTTTTTGTTGAGTACCTACTTTGTGCCAGGGAACCCAGAGGTAAAGCGGTCACTGCTTCCTAGACTTGACCATACTAGCAGAGAGAGCAGTAAACAAAACTGCAAGATAATTTCAGACAGGGCCAAATATGGTGAAGAAACCAAAAACAAGAGGCTCCTCCAGCAAGACAGAAAGCAGCAGGTCAGGGCGGGGATGACTCTGTCGGGGTTGGAAGGGCTTCCCTGGAAAGTGAGCCTGCTGAGACCCATGTCCCACCATGTGAGGAGCGGAGAGCAGGGTGTTCCCAGCCATGAGCATGGGAAGTGCCAGGGCCCCAAGAAGGCAACACTTGTGTCACATGCTCTTTGTCACCAGCTAACTCTCTGGGGACCAGAAACCCAGTCATGACAGGGAGGAAAGTGGGGAGTTGGGGAGAAGCGTCACTGAGGGCCACCTGTGGGCTATGGAAAGAAGTTGGATTTGATTCTAGTAGTCCTTGGAGCTCATGACATAACCTCATCGACCTTTCAAAGAAGATCCTGCAACAGTATGCAGGGTAGGGGTGGTATCTGCCTCCTCCAGATGAGAAGAGTGAAGGTTAAGCAGTTCCCCTGCATTTCGCGGAGTGGACAAGCGTGTGGGTCTGTGGCATGAGCCGGCGGGGTTAAACAAATGGTAACTGGAGTGAGCACGTGACAGAGGCAGGAGCTCTAGGGAGACCTGGATCTGATGGGTAAAAAGGGAGGATGTGGAGAGGAGGCAGGAAGCTCATCTAAATTGAGCAGAAAACTAAAACTGGACATGTGGGGCAGAGGGAGGCCCCTGCAGAATTAGAGGGGCTGGAGCCAGGGGACAAATGAGCCTGGAAAGGAGGGGTGGGGGCTCTGTGAGTGGGCAGTAGGTGCAGCCGAACTAGGGGAGATTGTCTTGGGGGTGACCCATGGCTGGGCCAATGTTTTTTTTTCCTTCGGGTGTCTCCAGGGCCAAATCCTAGCATCGCCAAACACACCCTGGTGGTGCTCGACCCGAGGACGCCCTCAGACCACCACAACTGGCAGGCAACCCTTCAAAATGAGTCTGGCAAAGAGGTGAGCACCCACCGGGCTGGCGGGCAGGCTGGCTGGCTTCTGGCGGATTCCTCCTAATGTGAGCAGCCCCTATCCCCTTCCTCACCTGTCAGCTGGCAATGTGGCTTAAAGCCATCCACAGCAGAGCATGAGAGAGGGGCCATGGCTCCAAACGTCTCTTTCCCCACTCAGCCTCCTCCAAGCACACAGTACCTCTGTGGCCAAACCTCCTACATGTCACCCTTCCCCTTTTCATTTCAAAGGGAACAATATTCACTGGAGGACACGAGCAGAGAGAAGTACATAAAAATAACCCATGGTTCCACCAATTAATTTACCCATCCTTCCTTCCAGGCTTTTTCTATGTCATGGTCAAATACAAACTGGGAGTCCATCTCATGCTTCACTCATCTGACAAGACCTAATGGATGTTTTCCACAGTGGCTCCTGCCCGAGTGTGTGGCTTACGGTGGCTGGTTTTCCACGCTTTTGGGGAGCACTGGGTGTTCACAGTTGTCTCCAGTCTTCCCGTGTTGTAAAGAACCATCTCTCAGGCAGATCTTTGAACTAGCTTATGGATATTTGCTTAGGCTAAATCCCTGGAAGTTTAATGCTAGGCTAATGCCATGATTTTAAAATGGCAGTTACATTGGGTTTTTGTAGAAGCAGGATCTGCTGGTGGAAATGAGATGAATGGGCCAGTTGCTGCTGGAATCCTCCCTAGTGCCCCAGGCTCTTCCTTCTCCCTCACATCCAGATCCCAGACTCTCAACCCCAATTTTGCATTTGAGTGTTTTTCAGGGTATCATGAAAATCTCTCCCGAGATGGGCATGGGGTGGAGGCAGGAGCTGCATTTCTTTACTCAAAAAGTGTTATTTTTAAAGTTTTGTTTTTTAAATTGACATATAACACACATAAAAGACACAAATCTTAATGGTTTGCACAATGAATTTTTACATATGCATACAGCTGTGGGACCACCAGCCAGATCAAGGTGGAGGCCATTTCCTGCACCCCGGAAGGCTGGTTCTCCTGGGTTCCATTGTAATGAACAGTGAGGGCACAACCTCCTCCCCCTTGCCACAACAGGGGTGTGGGGAGTTAGCCTTGTGGATTCTGAAGTTGTAGCACACTGAGTTTGATCCCAGCTCCACCTCTTGGGCAACCTCTGTGAACCTCAGTTTCCCCACCAGCAAAATAATGACAATTAAACATTTATATATATTAGCTCATTTAATTTTCACAATGCTCCCACAAAGAAGGGGGCCTGTTATCATTCCAAATTTTTAAACCAGAAAACTGAGGCACAGGAGAGGCTAAGTAACCAGCCAAGGTCATATAGCCAGTAAGAGGTAGAGCTGGCCAGCCTGGGCAACATAGGGCTACCCCATCTCTACTAAAAAAAAAAAAATTAGCCGGGAGTGGTGGCAGGCACCTGTAGTTCCAGCTAGTTGGGAGGCTTAGGTGGGAGAATCACTTGACCCCAGGAGTTCAATGCTGCAACGGCACTCAAGGCTACTTCTGCCATCACCAGCACCAGCTTCTCTCCAGAGGGTGCTGGACATCTTCTTGCCGCCTCAAATGTGGCACATTCTATGTCAACCCTTTTCCACACCTGCCCTTTCTCCTGGGGCCTTCCTGAAATCAAAAGCCATCAGGTGCCCATGCTAGAAGCCAATTGCACTCCAGCCTGGGTGACAGAGAAAGACTCTGTCTCACAAAAAAGCGGGGGAGAGTAGAGCTGGGATTTGAACTGAGAGCCTATTGCTCCTATGAGTTATAATAATAAGCATCTCATGGGAGGATCTTGGACCACAAATGGAAATGTTTTGTGACAAAGATGAGAATTATTATTCTTGGTACCATTGTGGCTACAGCAATATTGATGTATCCTAATTATCTATCCAGCTATTATTTATCCTAAAAGACTGGATAGAGGCCTGGACGCCCTTGGACCAATGGCCCTCTGGGACTCTGGCTGCCTGTATTCCAAGAGAAATGTGTTTTTTTGGGGGTTTTTTTGGCTGCAAAAGACAGTTGACATTTAACCTTTCCCCAGAGTTCCAGGCACTGGGCTAGGCACATGTATTAGTCCATTCTTGTCCTACTCTACTACTCGAAAGAATACCCGAGACTGGGTAATTTATAAAGGAAAGAAGTTTAATTGACTCACAGTTCCACATGGCTGGGGAGTCCTCAGGAAACTTACAATCATGGCAGAAGGGGAAGCAGGCACATTTTACGTGGTAGCAGGTGAGAGAGAGTGAGAAAGAGCAGGGGAAACTGCCTTATAAAACCATCGGATCTCATGAGAACTCACTGACTATCACGAGAACAGCAGAGGGGAAACTGCCCCCATGATTCAATCACCTCCCACCAGGTCCCTTACTCAACATGTGGGGATTATGGGGATTACAATTCAATACGAGATTCGAGTGGAGACACAGAGCCAACTATGTCAGCACCTTAAGTGTGTTTTATCCACAGCATCTTCCCAACAACCTGGAGATAGTATCACCTCCAGGCTGTGGTGAAGGGAGTGGTGAAGGGAGTGAATCTCAGGGAGGTGAAAATGCCCAGTCTGTCTAGGGCTCTTGCAAGACGTGCCAAAACTTCATGCTGTATGAGGCTGCTTTTCTTTCTCAGGCATCCTGCCCTTGCAGGGGCGCTCCTGGCTGTCCAGGGTCCTGACCATTCCTTGTCTCCGGGCTGGTTCCAGATGGGATGAGTTGTTAGGACTGATGGATTCTTCTGGGAAGCATTTGTAGGATTTGGGATCTGGCCAGAGGGGGAGATGTCCACCTTATCTTGTGGTTTCCTCAGGTCACAGTGGCTGTCACCAGCACCCCCAATGCCATCCTGGGCAAGTACCAACTACATGTGAAAACTGGAAAACACATCCTTAAATCTGAAGAAAACATCCTATACCTTCTCTGCAACCCATGGTGTAAAGGTACTGTGAATCTCAGGTCTGCTGGGGCGTGGCAGGTGCCCCTGGCAAAACCTGCTATGGGCAATGCATAGTCTATGAGCTTTTGTTTGCTCTCAAGGTACTTGCAAACTAATTAAAGGGATGTGACCCAGGAACAGATTGTGGACACCATTGGAGCATTTTCTTTGTGACCAGGCCCCTTAGAATGGAGGTCCTTATTCCCCGTTTCCACTTCTCCCCAATGCCTTGCCCTGCCCCAGCTGGCTTCTGCCTTCACCACTGTACAGAGGCTGCCTTGGTGGGGGTGGGGAGGGGCCACCAAGGACTTCTTTCTTGCCAACTACAGGTCAGGACCTGAACTGTGGTTGGCTCCTCCCTTCTGCTCCCTTAGTTCTGTTCTCTTCTCTCCACTCCCTCATGTACCCAGCTCATTTTTTCCTGTGGCTACACTGGAGCCTTTATGTAAATGGCACTCGAGGCTACTTCTGCCATTGCCAGCACTGGCTTCTCTCCAGAGGGTGCTGGACATCTTGTAGCCTCAAATGTGGCACATTCTATGTCAACCCTTTCCATACCTGCCCTCCCTCCTGGGGCCTTTTTGAAATCAAAAGCCATCAGGCGCCCATGCTAGAAGCCAAGGAGCTCTTTTTTTAACCTTTGTATTTGGAAATGATTTTGAGCTCACAGAAAAGTGGCAAAAATGATGTAATGAACAACCTATACCCTTTATCCAGGCTCACCTGTTGTTAATATTTTTCTCCATTTGCTTAATCATTTTCCCTCCCTCCCTCCTCTACACACACACATGCTTTTTATTTTTGAACCATTTGAGAGTAAGTTACATATAAGTTGGTTTTTTACAACCCCTAAACCCTTTGATGTGTATTCCATAAGAACAGGGATGTTCTCTCATATAACCACAGTACAGTTATCAACTTCAGTAAATTAAGTGTTAGCAGCCAGGCGTGGTGGCTCATGCCTGTAATCTCAGCACTTTGGGAGGCGAGGTGGGCAGATCACAAGGTCGGGAGATCGAGACCATCCTGGCTAACACGGTGAAACCCATCTCTACTACAAATACAAAGAAAAATAGCCGGGCGTGGTGGCAGGCACCTGTATTCTCAGCTACTCAGGAGGCTGAGGCAGGAGAATGGCGTGAACCCGGGAGGCAGAAACTTGCAGTGAGCCGAGATTTGTGCCACTGCACCGCAGCCTGGGCGACAGAGCGAGACTCTCTCTCACAAAAGGAAAAAAAAAACAACA